ACATAATACTACACAAACATTAGATGTTGCCATGGTTTAATTGCACATAACATGTAAACATTCACAGTGCAGGGAAGAAAAAGTATGTGAACCTTTGGACTTAATAACTGGTTGACCCTCCTTTGGCAGCAATAACCTCAACCAAACGTTTCCTGTAGTTGCAGATCAGACCTGCACAACGATCTGGAGTCATTTTGGACCACTCCTCTTCACAAAACTGTTTCAGTGTAGCAATATTCTTGGGATATCTGGTGTGAATCGCTCTCTTAAGGTCATGCCACAGCATTTCAATCGGGTTGAGGTCAGGACTCTGACTGGGCCACTCCAGAAGGCGTATTCTGTGCTGTTGCAGCCATTGTTTTGTTGAATTACTTGTATGCTTTGGGTCATTGTCCTGTTGCATCACCCATCCTCTGCGGAGCTTCAGTTGGCGGACAGATGGTCGTATGTTTTCCTGCAAAATTTCTTGATAAACTCTGGAATTCATTTTCCCATCAATGACAACAATCTGTCCAGGCCCTGAGGCAGCAAAGCAGCCCCAAACCATGATGCTCCCTCCGCCATGTTTTACAGTGGGGATGAGGTTTTGATGTTGGTGTGCTGTGCCTTTTTTTCTCCACACATAGTGTTGTGTGTTCTTCCCAAACAACTCAATCTTGGTTTCATCTGTCCACAGTATATTTTGTCAGTAGTGCTGTGGAACATCCAGGTGCTCTTTTGTAAACTTGAACCGTGATGCAATATTCTTTTTGGACAGCAATGGCTTCCTCCGTGGTGTCCTCCCATGTACTCCATTCTTGTTTAATGTTTTCCTTATTGTAGATGTGTCAACAAAAATGTTAGCATGTGCCAGAGATTTCTGTAGGTCTTTAGCTGACACTCTGGGATTCTTCTTTACCTCATGCAGCATTCTGCGCTGTGCTCTTGCAGTCATTTTTACAGGACGACCACACCTAGGGAGAGTAGCAACAGTGCTAAACTTTCTCCATTTGTAGACAGTCTGTCTTACCGTGGACACATGAACATCAAGGCTTTTGGAGATACTTTTGTAACCCTTTCCAGCTTCATGCAAGTCAACAATTCTTGATCGTAGGTCTTTTGAGAGCTCTTTTCTGCGAGGCATGGTTCACATCAGACAGCGCTTCTTGAAACCAGTAAACTCAAAACAGGTGTGTGTTTTTTAAGGGCAGGACAGCTGTCAGCAACACATCCAATATCATCACACTGATTGGAGTCAAGGTTGGCTCACTCCTGGCTCCAATTAGCTCTGGGAGAAGTCATTAAGCTAGGGCCTCACATACTTTTTCCTCCCTGCACTGTGAATGTTTACATGTTATGTGCAATTAAACCATGGAACATCTAATGTTTGTGTAGTATTATGTTCAGCAGACTGTGTTCTTCTATTGTTGTGACTTAGATGACGCTCAGAGCACATTTTATGCCCAATTCATGCAAAACTCCACGTAATCCCAAGGGGTTCACATACTTTTTCTTGCAACTGTATATTATCACATATATATATACGTGATTTGCATCTCCGGGTAGGGGGTGTGCGCACGCCACCATACCCGTGCCGCCATTGGTGGCTACGAATGTCAATCACTGGGTGCTGGAGATTCCCCGCCGGCACCCAGCGATCGCTGTGTAACACTTTCAGGGGAGAGACCTATGTGTAAACAACACAGGTCTCTCTCCTGCCAGCAAGAACATGCTGCTGTGTAATTCTCTGTTTCCTTAGTAAAACCCACAAAACACATTATGTAAAACGGCACACAGTTAACCCTTTGATGGCCCCAGATGTTAACTCCTTTCTGCCCAGTGTCATTAGTACAGGTCAGTGCTTTTTATTAGCACTGATCACTGTATTAGTGTCATTGGGATGTCAGTTAGTTCCCACCCAGTGTCAGAATGCCCGCTGCAGTCCCACTATAATACGCTGATTGCCGCCATTACTAGTATAAAAAAATTAAAATTAAAATTCCAGTATATATACCACCATTTGTAGATGCTATAAATTTCACATAAACCAATTAGTTTACATGTATTGGGATTTTTTTTTAGCAGAATACATTTTGGCCTAAATTTATGATGAAATTTAATTTTTAAAATTTTTGTACTGGATATGTTTTATAGCAAAAAGTCAAAAATATTGTGTTTTTTTTTCAAAATTGTCAGCTTTTTTGTTTATAGCACAAAAAATAAAAAAAACACACAGGTGATCAAATACCACCAAAAGAAAGCACTATTTGTGGGGAAATAAAGGACATAAATTTCATGTAAATTTTATGTACAGCGTTGCATGACCGCGCAATTGCCAGGTAAAGTAATGCAGCACCGTAACAGAAAAAATGGCCTGGTCAGGAAGGGGGGTAAATCCTCTGGAGGGCAAGTAGTTAAAGTGGAACTATGTTTATTTGTCGACATACTCTACCTGCTACATTTATACATTTATCCCAGCGTTTAACTAATGCCTGGAAAGCTTATGCATACAAAGATTTGCAGGACGCCTGAACCATCCTAGGGTAGCCCGCTTCACTTCCTCATCATTGTGTTCACCGTTCCCACAGAAAGATTCCTCTCTTGTGCAATTCCAAGGCAGGTTATTCATCGATTATCCAGGATCAGGTGTTCCACACGTTGAATGCTCACAGGAATGACTGCCGTGGGCTGGAAACCACTACGACTGGGATCATCACTGACGGACTTGATGGCCATCTCTGAAATGTTTACACCATTCAAATGTCTTACTGAAGCTTAGCATCTCATCACAGTACTGTGCTTGAAGTCTTCTGTAGATATCTGGGGGTTCTACACCTTAGTCCACAAGAAACTTCATCACCACATGCTGTTCCATGCACGCACTAACACTGTTGTTTGCCATTCACAGGAATGACTGCTGTGGGCTGGGAACCACCATGAACAGATCATCACTGACAGACTTGATGGCCATCTTTGAAATGTTTACATCATTCAAATGTCTTACTGCGGCTGAGTGTCTTATCACCTTTCTGTGCTTGAAGTCTTCTGTAGATACCTGGGGGTTCTACGCCTTCATTCCCAAGAAACTTCATCACCACATGCTGATCCATGCACGCACTAACACTGTTGTCTGCCATTCACAGGGATGACTGCTGTGGGCTGGGACCACTACGACTGGGATCATCACTGACGGACTTGATGACCATCTTTGAAACGTTTACACCATTCAAATGTCTTACTGCAGCTGAGCATCTCATCATCATACTGTGCATGAAGTCTTCTGTAGATATCTGGGGGTTTTACACCTTCCTTCACAAGAAACTTCATCACCCATACGCTGTTCCATGCAGGCACTAACACTCTTGTCTGCCATATTGATTAATGGTCTCTGGACCGGCCCATGACATGTGAGCCGCCTATCATTAATAGGACACACTTGTCACTAATGCATGTAGTACTGCCACACTAGCATCCCTTTTTATACCTGTAAAATTAAAAGTCCTAGTTTGACCTGAATGCTCCTTGTATCATATTTGCTTGGACACAACCAAAAAGTCAGGGGATGCTTTTCAAAGTGATTTCTTGGCAAAATAAAGCATGGAGACATGTATACATGGGTGAATTTGCTTTGAATATTAAAATGAAATAAATAGCTTTTTGGTTTGTGGTGCTTAGATACATTGTAGTTCCGCTTTAAATAAAGAGTTTGCAAAAAAAAGAGAGAGAGGCTGAAGGAGATCAGCAGCACCAAGATGCATGAAGGAGGAGCCTTGCCGCACCAACGTCACGCTGCCAAGGCCGCATGGAAGGCCGGCAGACATCTTAACTTCTTGTAAGCTTACTACCATACCTTATCTTTTACCTGGAATTTTGCCAATACTTAATAAAATACTACACTATCCAAAATTTTCGTTTTGTGGCTTGTATATGAGCCATTTAAGGTGGATCACTATCCTTTTGGCAACAAACTTCTATGGGGGAGATGCATAAGAGGAGATGTCCCTATGTGCTGAGAGGGTCCGGTTTGTGAGATCTGGAGTGCTTTTCCTGTGTGCTGTGTGTGTACCAGTGGAGCCCCCTGTCCCCACCAGAGCCCTGATGTCCACCAAGGTTTCCCCGGATATTATTACATGCGCATTAACATTGCGCTTCTGGTGAGTGCAAGCATACTTCAATCCCTTATCACTGAAGTCATGGAATTTGACGCATCACTTTATGGACTATATGTATTTCAAGATATCTTCATCTGCTATTTGATATATTACTTTTACGTGGAACAGTTCATCATTAATACTAATACATCATCCATTCACTTATTATTTTGTCATCATTAGATGACACTTTTGTAGCACTTGTTAGCGCAATTATTTGCACCTTATGGTATGCACTTGTCACTTTCATCATTTTAGCTCTGCATTTTGTGTTATCAGCACTAAGATGCATAAAAAAGGATAAAGAAAAAAATAATCCAGTTAGGCTTTACATCTGCTTCAAATCTCCTTTACATTGTATTATGTTCTGTGAAACATACCCAACAGTCAGCTGCATCTTCTGCAACATGAGAATTGTTTGAAAAAGTCAAATATAAAATGGATTTCAATTTACTCATCTGCAGTGCGTGTATGTGAATAGAAGATGAAAAGTAAAAAGCAAGTGGAAATAAGTGGTAGGCCCTCCAGGTTTTGGTTCTGTGGAGCTCTGAGAAGCCTCATTCATGAATCACCCGGTTATGTACTGTGGAAAATCTCTGGTCTGTAATAGGGAGTGCCTGTTCTATGCACACATTGCAATTTAAAGCTTCGGGGGAGAACTGCTACTGCGGGCTCTGTGTTTATGTCTGAAGGCTTTATTCCAGTGATACATAAACAAATCGCTCCAGCCACTGCCAAATCCCCTCTAGCCAATCGTATCCAGTGATGTCATTCTATAACACCCAAACCTTATAAATATTCTCCAAGCCAAGAACCAGGCAGCATCCGTCACTCAGCACTAATTCTAGGCTCAGCAGACAGACAACAAAGATGAAGAACTCCTTGGCAGATTGGTTGATCTTTTTCCTGGATAAGATATCCGTGGTGGCCAGCTTCAAACTCTTTAGCATGTCAGATGAAAGTGAGGGGGAGAACCATTATCTGGACATTTCCTATTTTAAGCGGGGAGATTTGTTAGAAGTTCCCAGGACTCTGTTTGTGCATTTTGGGATTTATTTGGGAAATAACAAGGTTGCCCATCTAATGCCAGATATCCTTCCTACCATGACAGAGGACAAGTGTCTGATTGACAAAGTGGTGACTAACAAAAGGCTGATCCTGGGTGTCCTGGCTAAGGTGGCCAGTATCAGGGTGGACACTGTGCAGGACTTTGCCTATGGTGGAACCATAATAGTTAATCACATGGACTGCAGCTTCAAGACAAAGCCCCTCTGTAATGAGGAAGTGGCCCAAAGGGCTGAAAAGTTGCTGGGGGCCACGCCATACAGCCTGCTGTGGGATAACTGCGAGCACTTTGTGACCTATTGCAGATATGGCTTTCCGGTGAGCTTTCAGACCGATAAGGTAAATGTCATTAATGCACATCACTCTTTTGTTTTGTAAGATGTTCTTCTTGCATTGACGTTTGGCAAAAACATTAGATAGGAACTGATTAGTTATGATTATTTATGCCATATAGAAATACTAGACAAACGTATGTGTCTTTTTCTTCTAGCATATTTATTAACTGAATGCATCATTTTCATTGTCCCTCTTGCTATTGTACAGCGCTGATCAAACCCTTTGGCGCTATATAAATACTGTATAATAATAATAATAATTTTCTGATGCATGTACTACACAGAAGATTTTACTCAGCTTCTTTAGAATAATAGTATTTAGAGGTATGGCAGCTTCCAGTTTAATATCTATTTTCATGCATATTGAACTTATTTGCCTAATGAAGTGTTATGCATGACTGTATACATACTGTTCATACACTTCTTCGCATCTATCCTTAAAGCAGTGCTAAACCCAAAACAAACATTTATTATATTGCAGCTTACCAATTCTTAGATATGATGGCTGCATTCGTTTCTTTTTTTAGGCTTTCTTTCTTTTATTTTCATCTGGTGATCCAGCCAGCAAGTCTGCTGTTTTTCAGAAGCTCAGGCTATCCAGCAAAATGTATCAGTTTACATGGATGAGACAAACCACTTAACACTGGCAGGGGTGAATAAAATAATCAGCCTTTATTTATTTCATGCAAAAAACCTTTATCCCAAAGGATGCAACTGATTATAAAGTGTTAGCTGGAGTTTGGCTTCATTTTGTTTAGTGTATTTAAATTTGCTTATACATTTAACACTCCCCTCCTCCCCAGACTGACAGTGCGGCTGTCTGCTGTGCCTCCTGTGCTCCACCATCCACAGTTGTGTCTCACTAATACAGGAGGTGTGTTGATGGCCAGATCACCAGATGGAAACAGAGGGATAAAAGCCGAAGAAAAGAAATCTAATGCAGCCACTACATCTAAAGATTGGTAAGCTGCAATATAATACATTGTTGGTTTGGGGTTTGATACCACTTTAAGAACCTGTAAAGACTATATATATGGTTGTAGTGAATTCCTACTACAGGAGTACAGCAAGTCTTTTTTCCACATATTCCTTCTATCTGTATTACTTTTGCAAGGTAAATCCTTTCATTGATATTCACTAACCCCCAGCTTCTCCTATGGAGATAAAAGCCAATTTATTCCCCCGCCTGTGTGAAAATGTAATCAGCTCACAATAGTGTAGTAAGGAGCAACTCTGATGCTACTGAGTAGCTACAGTACATCTGCCTATTAAAGACACCAATGTGAAATGCCATAGAATCTGATCACTAAAATAATAGGAAAATATATCCATTTAAAGTGTTACTAAACCCAGGACCCTGCATTCACTGTATCTGGTCTCCCATGGTACTTAGAACATGGAAATACAATTATTTTAGTAAATATAAACTGCTAAATACCTTTTCTCATCAGCAGTTACAGCAGTCTTGTGATTCCTACTAGTGTCCAGCTGAGCACTGGTAAAAGTGTTACTAAACCCAGGACCCTGCATTCGCTGTATCTGGTCTCCCACAGTACGTAGAACATGGAAGTACAATTATTTTAGTAAATATAAACTGCTAAATACCTTTTCTCATCAGTAGTTAGAGCAGTCTTGTGACGTCTATCAGTGTCCCAGCAGAGCACATGTTAAAGCTTGTAGAAGGAGTTTTCTTTCTGCTTTAGGAGGATGCAGAACCTCTGACCTCTGTCTGGACAGTGCTGATTGGCCCTGTGCTGATCACAACCACTCTCCCAAGAAAAAAAAAAAACTTCTCTAGCAATATACACTAAACTGAGCATGTGCAGAACGGCTACGGTTCAGTCTGTCTTATAAGGAGATAAGACATGGATATTTGAGCAAGAGGAGGAGAAGAGAAGTCAAAATCAAATGGCCTTTTTACACAATGCAGAGGATTAACCCCTTAGGTCCACAGTGAGTATAACAAGCATGCTTTACTGCTTATACAGACTGATTTTACTGTTGGGGTTTAGTAACACTTTAAAGCTTGTAGGATGTGTTTTCATTCTCCCCTGACTGTCTTATGAGGCCGCATAACCCCTGACCCTCTGTCTGGACAGCATTGATTGGCCCTGTGCTGATCACATGTACTTTCCCAAAGAAAAAAATAACTCTCTTGCAATACACACCAAACTGAGCATGTGCAGCATGCCACCAAGGCTCTGTTCTCTCATCAGATGGATTGGGGATAGTAGAATAAGGGGAGAATCAGAGAAGACAGGATCAAACATCATTTTTACACAATGCAGAGGATTAACCCCTTATGTTCAACAGTGAGTAAAACAAGCATGTTTTACTGCATACACAGATTGATTTTACTGTTGTGGGTTTAGTAACACTTTCATCAATCATGATCATATTTTGTTTAACATCTCGGCTATTGTCTGTTAACACTCTGGGGAGAGAGGAAAGTTCAGATATTACTCATAATTCTTAAACTATATCTAAAAGAAAACTGTTTTTCAATTTAGGTATAATAGGGAATTAATATATCTGCTGTGAGTTATTTTGTGGCTGTTTATGCCCCTTCTGGAAGATTTCCCTTTACTTCCTCTACTCTACACTCAACAAGAAATTAGGTCATTACAAGCAGAAAAAGTGAATCTGCCATGCATAGACATAGACACCAATAGAAGCCTCACAGGATTTCTAACCCCTCACCATTACAAGCAGAGAGAGTGAATCTGCCATGCATGGACATAGACACCAATAAAAGCCTCACAGGAGTTCTAACCCCTCACCATTACAGGCAGAGAGAGTGAATCTGCCATGCATAGACATAGACACCAATAAAAGCATCACAGGAGTTCTAACCCCTCACCATTACAGGCAGAGAGAGTGAATCTGCCATGCATGGACATAGACACCAATAAAAGCCTTACAGGAGTTCTAACCCCTCACCATTACAGGCAGAGAGAGTGAATCTGCCATGCATAGACATAGACACCAATAAAAGCATCACAGGAGTTCTAACCTCTCACGATTACATGCAGAGAGAGTAAATCTGCCATGCATAGACATCAATAAAAGCGTCACAGGAGTTCTAACCCCTCACCATTACAGGCAGAGAGAGTGAATCTGCCATGCATAAAATAATAAAATCCTCATGGGTGCTCTAACCCCTCACCATTCTGCCCTAAAACTAAAAAGGAAAAAAAAAAGATGGGCTTTAGATACACTTCATACATGTTTTTATGCGGACCATGGGCAGATTCATTTTTTGGCAAACATAGCACGATTGTTTGAATGTTTTATATAGTATACTGTATCTATTTATAGATTAGCAGATACTGACAGTGGCTATTTTTGGGGAATGAGCTCCTTCTTACTGGTCTCCCCTAAAATAAATAGTGATATGGGTAACTAGTTAAGACACAAAAAAGATTTTTTTTTCTGTGAACAGGAAAAAATTATCTACTGCTCTTTGAAAAAGCCACATGTGAAATACAAGTTTATTTTGGAACTGGTTTTTTGGGGCAGTTTAAAGAGCAATGATCATATGCAAAATGGATCATTAGATTCAGTTTGCTGCATTCAAATCAGTGAAATCAGGGGTGGACTGACCATTTAGAAACTCTGGCACTGCCCAAGGGCCCGGGGTCAGTAGGGGGCCCCTTGAGATGCCCCTGGCACCTTTTTCACCTTTTTTGAGTTTGGGCAAGGACACAGGGGCCCCATGATCCCCTATTGCCCAGGGGCCCCATCAGTTGTCAGTCCGCCCCTGAGTGAAATATTATCTGATTGGTTGGACTGTGGTCCCTGGACATTATTACTGACCATGCCTAGGCTTAGTGCTTGGTGATTGAGTATGGTGCTGGTGAATGAGTAAAAGTTAATGTAGGATCAGCTTACGATCATGTGCTAAAACCAACTAGAAAAAATCCTTAAAGGGTTCATTTACATTTAGCAAAAAATTGCATATGCAGATAAGGGATGCTTGTAGATAAAAAAAAGTTGAAAATGTCTGCTATAGGTGAGGGCCATTTGTGTACCTCCTCAAGCCTGGCCAAAAAACTCCCAGAGATGGCATCATCCTGTCCTGCCAGCTTGCAAGGGCATAATTCAGCTTTGGTCAAAGATGCACAGTTCGGTTTTATCTACAGGCACACCTTACCTGTGTGGGCAGTTTTTTAAAGGTAAAGGTGAACTAATCTTTTAGGACCTACCTGCTGATAATCAATCCATGTATGGAATGCCTATGGTGTTGATGGCTGGTTGATATTAACCCATTTATGAAAGCATTACACATACACTCTCTGGTGGGTGTACCGGTTCAATTGCTCGGTAAACAAACTGCCAATCAGCCAATCACATGGCAGCAACTCAATGCATTTAGGCATCTAGTTGCGGTGAAGACGACTTCCTGAAGTTTAAACCAAACATCAGAATGGGGAAGAAAGGGGATTTAAGTGACTTTAAACGTGGCATGGTTGTTGGTGCCAGACAGACTGGTCTGAGTATTTCACAAACTGCTGATCTACTGGGATTTTCACACACAACCATCTCTAGAGTTTACAGAGAATGGTTAGAAAAAAAGGAAATATCCAGTGATCGGCATTTGTGTGGATGAAAATACTTTGTTTATGTCAAAGGTCAGTGGAAAATGGGCAGACTGGTTGCTACAACATTCTGATAGTAGGGTCAGAATTTGGTGTAAACAACATAAACGCATGGATCCATCCTGCCTTGTATCAACGGTTCAGGCTGGTGGTGTAATGGTGTGGGGGATATTTTCTTTGCACTAGCAAGGTGTACCTATTAAAGTAGCCAGTGAGTGTATATGCAGAAGCACAGCGGGTGGGCCTTAACCATTTGCCGCCCGCCCTATTGCCGAATGGCGGGCGGCAAATGTCATCAGCGTTCTGGGTGGACGCCATATGGCATCCTCCCACACATGCGCAGATTGCGCTCCTGCAGAGCGGCGCAGCGGAGCGATCTGTCACCGGCTGTGTACCTCGGACACGG